GTTGATTTCCTTCTATATTCATGCTTGAAAGTAGGCCGAAGTATCCGCAGGTGAATACGAGTATCCAGATAATAAGTTAGGATCGATCAGTTCACACGAATTGTTCTGTTCTGATTCATCATTGCAAAACAATGGTCTGGAAACAGCCCAGCTTGAAGGAAACAGTATCGTGGAAAGAAAGAACAGTCAGTATCGGACCCGATACCCTTTAAAAGACCTGATGAGAACACTGCAGAATCGCTGGCGAAACGAAAGTTACATGGCTATTGTCTAAGCGACGCAGGCCCGAGGAGAACACTGTACATGTAACCAGCACATTTACGAATTTCAAGGGAGCTAAAAATCGCTATTTTTAGAAAAATTTGTTTGACCATTTTTAAAACTCGTATTTTTGAAATAACAATGATAACAAAAAATACCCCATCCTTAACAATATATTATCTATGTATGTCACCAGCCTACAATTTAAAATATGACATAATGAAAAATGTCAACTATCTAGTAAAATACCCATTATTTTCTCGAATATTAGGCTGGGACCCCCAACTTTTTTGAAGTCAATGTCATAATATTGTCCTGGAGTACACATTCTTGTGAAATGAATAAACACTTGGTATTTTCATTCATGAGTAGGCTTCTACCTTTAATATTGTTTTATTTTCACTGTTTTATGTTGACACTCACTTAGACACTGTCGTTGGCCACAGGGTTGGATAATCACTGGAAACATCTGTACCAATATCGTCATGGATAAGGTTACGTAATTTAGCTAAGCAGGATAGCATTACAGATATACACAGAGGTTCAGTCAGTTGCTGGAGAAAATGTACAAACTTCCCCCTGAAATTGAAAAAGTTTTTTTTTTTTTTTTTAAATCAGTAAAATGTCATTAATTATCAAAATTGGACAACTTTTAAAGCCAATGTTACTCAGCAAAATACTGTCAGGATATACCGTATTTGCTCTATTAGAAACCCATCTCCAATAGAAGCATGTGAAAACCAACAGTTCTCTATATTGTAAACTTGATTATTAAAAACTTATTTTGACCATAGACACATCTCTGTCATTTACGTAAGCGCATACACTACTACTACCGGTACCAAACAAATGAAGTATAATAATAAATTCAATGTCTGTTCCCTGATGGCAAAGGATGAAGAAACTAATCAATATTTAATTCAGTCCAAAGCTTCTTAACAGATTATTTCAAGAATTTGTAAACTAAAACATGATCCTTTAGCATGCGGGATTTGATCAGTTAGCATTTGAAAGACAGTAGATCAGTCAAAAAGAACAAATCAATTACAATCGAGTACATCAGTATAAATATTGATGTAACACATACCTATTCATAATAGCTGGAATTATTTCTTTGCTTCCTTTACCCGACTGCATACCGCGTTTATTGTGAGTTGCCGCCATAAATATAGCAGCCACTGCGTCCCAGAGATCTCTAGCCGCGATACGACTTGCTTTGATATCAGGTAAATCCTTACACACATTGGCAATTAATTTACCAAACTATTGAAAAAAAAATTAGATGATACAAGTAACAAGTAAAGAAACTTTTACATTACAGCAAATGCTAGATTTATTCTTCAATTGCAATTCATTTTTTTATCAAAATTTTAAATTTGCAATCTGAAATCATTGCTAAAGTTTCATTGGTGTATGGCAACAGTCTGAATTTGTGCAAACTATGTGCTTTTAATTTTTTTTGGTAAAATCATTCAATGCTACAACAGCAAGAAAAATTGTCAATGTTTAACATTTTTAAACACATAATTTGTGGAAACTTTAGGAAATATGTATGAAACATCGTTGTTGACAATTGTTTCGGCTGCCTATTTGTTGTTCAAATTTCATTAATTTGTACCTTTATTTAAAGAATATTGTTCCAATGCATTAAAATTCATAAAGTTTCATTTGCATTTTGAAATACAGACTGCAGTAATTCGGAACATGTGTAAATTTGGGAAATCGTCAAATACTATAAAGGCATTAACTAATCGCTGGTTTTTAATTTAAATATTTTTGTGGATAAGTAAAATCCGCTAAATTAAATCCATGTGATTATGTAAAATAACAATAGAACTCGTTGTTTCCTGACGTGAATTAAATCCAGTGAACTTGCTCAATGCATTAAAATGTGAAAATAATATGAGGTTATTACGAGGATACCTCAAAGTATGCACAAAGACAGTACTGCAGAATATCAACCAACGCACAGCAGAGGTTGATGCAACGGCGTACTGTCTGAGTGCATATTT